GGCGAGGCAGCCGGCGAGGGTGCAGACGGGCGGGGACGAAGCTGGAGAAGCTCAGCGGCGGAGTATTGGAGCAGACCCATCGCAAGTTGGCGAAAGAAAAGACAGCAAAGTCCAGAGAAGAACGGACTCGAAGGGCATCCCGCCAGCCAACACCGTGGCGACAAACCCCGCGGGGACTCGGTCGAAATGGACACAGGACCGGTGGCAGTTGTGGATCAGTAAGCTGCTAAAAAACCTAAACTAAAAACTTAAAGTGATAGCTTAAAAAGTTACGGGTGAGCAGCGGCAGCAAGTCGCGCCAGCGTTCACTCCCCCCACTGAGTGGTGTGTATCGTCAACTACTTACTTCCAATGTTGGGGAGAACTTTCAGTCATATTTTGCAGGATTTTTTAAAATAATAATAATAATAATTATGTACGCCATGGGTTTCTTCTGTGTTCTTTTGGTTGTAGATATGATTGTGAAAATTTAAAGGTCAGTTATGTCCACTAATATTTGTTTTGTGGTCACAGACACATTTTGTCCACATTATTTTTGCTTACTGATTTCCAAATATTCATGGTAGGTCGTGGGTGAAATACTAGAACGTACATGTACTGATGTAAGTTTGATGTATCAAAAAAGTTAAGTTAAGTAAAGTAAAGATGAATGAACTAATGATTTAGTCAACAGTTCAACCACATCGGTAATGTAGTAATGGAGGTTAAATCAAGAAAATATACTGTATGTGTAGTTTTGTTATGCCTTTAATCCGTCCACATCTGATGTGATAATTATAATTAACTCCTGTAGCAAAGTTTTATTTTGGCCCTGCCACATCCAGAGGACTCGTATACTAAACATTATTTAGCATTTCACAAGAAACAAATTACAGCCCACAGTGCAAAAGGATAATGTGTAGCTGAAAGTTTTATTTTTGTCTTTCATGTGGCGCTCGTTCCCACATCTGTGTTCTATTTTTAATATCCACCTGAGCTTGCTCATTTACCAAGAGGTAAATAAGAACATAGATTCAGGATAGGTACTCAGACCCACTATTAAATCGGACCCTGAAGCAATCAGAAAAAAAACTGCAGTAAACTTTGTTTTTATTGGTTGAGCTGGTCTGGTCAGGAGAAAAAAAAACTCAGGAAAAACTTCAAAAATTCTTGCACATTTCAAATATTCTTAATCTGTTACTGATTAAGATTTTTGTCTGTGCTGCATTTTACTGGTCTTGATCCAGGAGGGGGTTCTGTGTTACATCTAATATACACACATGCACCACACTGACAGTGGAAAAAAAAGAGAAAAGATTGAATAACTATTTTTTGTAATAACTAATGTTTAAAGGCTTCTATTGGTCAGAGTTGCAGCTCAAAAGACACAACGTTCAATCAAGTCCACTTGTTAAACAAATGAGGGTTGACACTCTTACGGATAATCTGATGAAAAATAGCTTTTTTTGCTTCAAGCAAAAAAAAAAAACATAAATTTTCCTCTTTCATTTTTCATTTGTTTTTCTGGGCCTTGAAATGAATGGATATGGAGAAGAGTTAAATTAAAGTTTTCTTGTAAGTGGGGATTTTATTTATTTGTACAGTTCTGCAGTAATCGTTAGCATTGGCTGCCTTGAAGAACAGCATTACTTAATTAAAAAGTCACTTTTACTTCATAATGAATATTCAAAATACTGACTAACGACTCAAATTAAAAGGGTGTTTTTTTTTCCTTTTTGGCATTTACACAGCGTTGTGATAACTAATGCGATAGAAGTGTAAATATTTATCAGCTTCGATGGAGAATGAATATTTCATTGCTGTCGCTTGAAATATGCTGCATGTCATCACAAGGGCGAAAACCCTGCTGCGAAAATAAATCTACATCATCCATCACCAACATTTTAAAAGGACACTGTCGATTAAAGATGTAAAAGAAAACCCTCTCCGTCCATCACTCACAGTCCAATTCTGACATTTTGCATTGTGTGCACAACTGTCAGACATTTCATGTGTTTGCGGGGAGCTACACTCTTCCGTGACGCTGCTCAGCTTCACCAAAACAGCCAAAACAGTGGCTTGGCTTAGACGGCCAGGCCTTAAGAAACAGAACACCCCTGTCCTCCTCAGCCCAAGTCATGGTTGTAAACTCATAACACAGCAATGCTTTGAAGTGGCAACGGTCAGATTTGTTGTTTTTTGTTTTTTTTTTTCCTTCCCTGAATTGGTTGACAAATTTTAAAGTGACACTGTATAAGATTTGGTTTGTTAAGCGTCTTGTGTCGTTTCTGTTTGGACAGAGGAATTTCTATCACACAGCGTAACTACTCTCAGGCTCAGACACCCTCCTTGTGAACAGTCGCCAATCTGCAGTTCTGTGGGACCACCACTTCATTGTGGAAAGATGAAGAAGGGCATTTATGGCATGTCTGAACAAGGTCAAGAATGTGTGCATGTGTCCGTCAAGTGTGTGTGTGTGTGTGTGTTGCCTTATGCACATATTGGAGGAAATGCCCTGGACATTGTTGCATGATTTGAATTGCAACAAACCCACTTCCCTTTCCATCACTTCCTCTTTCATGGTGGTGATTTAGTTTGAGAGGGCACCCACAGTGGTGCTGGGAGGAAAAGCCCAAACAGCCACCACATTTCATCTTTATAGCCTGTTGTAAAACCCCAGTGAAAATCAAAACAGAATGGTCAGAGGTGGAAATGTCACATTATTTCCAATTTCCAATGAGCCAAAACTCACTTAATATGAAGAAATTACGTTACTCATCGTCTGTAAGATTCCATTCAGATACATGTTACATCATGTACTACTAGGCCATAAGGTGAACCCGATTATCGTTTCATCTCGCTCCAACGTCTAGGAACTACATGATCTCAACTTCATAAATAAGAACGAGTTACGTTAAACTTACAGCTAAAAGTTTGTCGCAAAATATCCTGCCCGTTTTTGTATCGATGCATTTTATAAAGAACTAG